AAAAAAGAGAATTATAAAAATGGGCTCTATATCACCTGATAGCTGGTTTGTTAAGAGGGTGATCTACTTGAAACGCGTCATCACAATTTATAATCACATCACATCACATCCATAATTAGCATTATTTTCCAAATTATTATAGTAAAAAAAGAAAAACACAGGGAAAATACCATTACGGCTTGTCGGGGGGGGGGGGAGAGGTGCTGCGCTCTATTACGACGGGCAAATTATCGTCTACTAGATTTCAAACGCCTTGAACAAAATATAGAAGAAGAAGAAGGAGGAAATGAACAAGAAGAACAAAAGTAGGAGCAGGAGGAGGAGAAGAAGAAGAAACAATCTGAGAAAAAGAAAATGAGGGCATAATGGGTCCCGATAATGACCTTCGATGGTGACGACAATATGACGTCATAAAGTAACAACCCAGCACGATTCGAGCGTTTTTTAATTCTGTGATCATGTTGTTGGTTCTCCTCACATAAGTCATGTTTATCCCGCCATGTTTCTAATTCCCGTTGAATTTGTCAAAATTATCTAAACGCCCCGCCCCCCAACTTCTTTATAAACGCCAGACTCCGTGTACGCACTAAAAAAAAAAGTGAATAATCAAAATGGGCTCGTCTATAATTATCATACGCCCAGTATACAACTACTGTCTTCAAAGTTTGTTTGTAGGAGATGGATCTAAACTTTAAAAAATGGAAGTTTGTCTTATAATCCTGTTTTATAATGTTGTAAATGGTGTAAATTTCCTTTTCGTGAGGTTTTGATCTGCGTTTTACTGATTTTTTGTAATGTTTTTATAATAACTTGTAAATATTGTGATTTAAAAAAAAAATATTATTGTTCAATAAAACACATAAAGAAAAAAAAAAACTGGGAATACGCGAGCCTTGGAACACGTCAGCACATGATAGAAAAATTAAAAAAAAAACAATCCATGATCAACAGTATTTGCCCAAAACAGGAAAGAAACCCCTAACAAAGGTACCGCAATTCAAGTTTGTTATTTCGTAAAGCTTGTTTTCTCCCCTTTTCATTGATATTTTATCGTGGAATTACATCTAAATATGTTGTATAAAGTTAGTCATACGCAACATGTTGCAAAATTCATCGATATTGTCAACAGAATATCCTCCTTTTGTTGGGAGAATAAAAAGTGTTCTGAACGATATTCAGTCTGTCATGCATTATTGCCAATGGCGTAATCATCTCATTTGGAAGGTGACATGCGGGATGACAGTGGCGGAGCGTGGTCGGACTGATTGAGGGGGCACGCCAAATTATGTATTTCTTTGTTGTTTCGAAAAATATATCCTGATGGTTTCTTTTGATTTTTCGAAATTATCTGGGGGTTCCCCCCCCCCTCCCCCACACTACGCCGTTGCGGGATGACATGTGTCCTGCAGATTTTGAGGTGTTGCAATAAACTTTTTGTATGTGGTTATAGGAATATATATTATTGTTTTATTAACTCATTGAGGAATTATAATTACATTTGATCCTTACACAGATTATTGCAAATAGTTTTACAATTCAAATTTTAGCTTTCACGTCTCTCCTATAATATACGACTTTATACTGTAATTGAAGTGGATATTGTGTGAAATTTCTTTGTTTATCCTTTCAATGTAGTTTCCCTTTTCCTTTTTATAAAATGGAGCAATGGTTAATTTTCAGAGCGTTATGTTTTTAGTACACACAGAATTTGATATTTTGAATCTCAAATATCATAATAATATACACCATAAGCGTACCATTACGGATTATCCAGAGGAAGGGGGGGGGGAGGGGGGGGGGATGTGCTGAGGTCTTTTTGCCTGGGCCAATTCTCCATTTTATAATGATATTGCAATCAACCTGAACAACAATGAATACAAATTTAATACATAATGCATGAGTTGGTGCTGCGGTCTTTGCCTCATTACGGGCAAACTATCATCTACTGGATTTCAATCGCCTTTGAACAAAAGTATTGTTATATAGAAGACGAAGAAATAGAAGAAGAAGAAGAAGAAGAAGAAGAAGAAGAAGAAGAGACGGAACTGACAAAAGTAGCCAAGAGGAGGAGGTGAAGAAGAAGACGAAGAAGAAGATGAAGAAGATGTATAGGCCTTTTAGAAGAAAGTGAAGAAGAAGAAGAAGAAGAAGAAGAAGAAGAAGAAGAAGTAGAACTAGAAGAATTGAATTAGAAGAAGAAAGTACAAGAGTAGGAGCTAGAGGAGAAGGAAAACAAGAAAAACACCGATAAAGACCCTCGATGATATAAGTCGATGGTAACGATAATATAGACAACATAGTTTTATGATGCACCTTCCCTCGCCCCCCCCCTCCCCCTCCCCCTCCCCCTCCCCCTTCCCCTCCCCCTTCCCCTCCCCCTCCTCCCCCCCCCCCTTCCTATATATTCAGTGCGGCGCGACCGATCGGCATGACGGTTGGGCCAAGGAGGAAAACGCGCGAAATTATAGGTGCACAATATAATTGAAAAAATACAAGGGGGGTTACTCAACAGGTACACGGGCACGTTGACGGGCTAGAATAGCCAGACACACTCATTTGGGTGCGAGATCATCGTACACAATGTGTCGTGTGTATTTCGTAATGGACAATTTGTAATGTATTTAGCGACAAATACGATGATCTAGAAATTTACGAGAAATTGCGCCGAAATTGAAGATCGCAGAACGTTTACATGAATTTTGTTCATCATGTTTGGTCTTTCCATACCTCTTTGTTGGCCTAGTTAGCCCCTTGCTGTGATTTGATTTTGACGGGGATCGACCTGGGAAAGTGGTATCACTAGTCATGCTAGTGGAATCCTATCCTTCCGATTTTCAATGCTAAATTATGATTTTTTTTTTTGGCACGGACAAAAAATACACGGAACACAGGTAAGTCCCTTTTCGTCAAATGCTAAGCCTAGTACTGCTGGTTTAATATTGTAAAGTTGTAGAATTTAGTGAACGAACTGACACGGCTCAGATCTCAACTGTGGTGGTGAATGCAGACAGCCCATGCGAGGGCCGGGCAATCCTTCCATACATGTACAGCTGAGCCCGACGCAACACGGTTGATCACTGGCAGCTACCGCAGTCACTTTGCTAGTATACAAACCCAATGTTTATTTCAACTTGTAATCGATTCTCAAATCTCGCCATTGCAAGCAGACGACAGACATTAGCGCATGCGCAGTATAGTTACTCCTGATAGATGGCGCTGTTTGAATTTTAAAATTGTTCATCGAACGGCAAGCGACTGAACCGTTCATTCGGCCATTTCAACATTGAGCATTTGGGCATATATTTCTGCTTTTTTGAGAATTTAGGTTGAAGTATTGCCATCTAAACCTCTGAAGACAATATTCAAACAATATTGAATGGATATTTCGCACCCAAAACCCTTGAACTGCAATTTTACCATTACTGGTCTTTACCTTTAATATGATAACGTTATTATATCGTTTTTTCAGACTTTCATTGAAATTAGAAATTTGAATTGTGTTCAAAACTGCGAATTCATTCTTCAATACATCTCCCGATTTCTTTATCTTGAAACTTAATTTTTTTTTTCTTCACCTACTTTATCTGCCCCCTCTGATTTTGTAATTCCACCTCTTTAAAATAATTTTTTCTTTTCTTTTTTTTTTTCTTCAATTATTAAAATACACACTTAATTTTATCATATATTTTTTTCTCGGAATTGCATTTAAATTGGGGAGGGTGTGCATTACGAAGGCGCGGAACGATGTTTAATATACGCGATGTTTTGGAACTTTGGTGTTGATTGACATGACTCGCCTCATTTCAGATAAGCAATCGACCTATACAGTGCGCCATTGTCCAGTCGCAACAACGACATACAAATAATGACAGATTTATTATGACATTCCCGCCACAAGTCGGCGCTCTCAGAACAAAGGCGTAGGCTGACAATCGTAAATATCGCGGTCTGTCTGAACTTGGGTGTTGATTACAACATTTCCAAAATACGGTTATCAATCCAACTTTCTAGTACTTCATTTGTGCCTATTCATTGTACCCACGAAAAGATCGATAGAAATGTCAGAATGTCTATTACCCTTCCCAGGGTTCAATGGGCGGCACAGGGTATGCAAATTATAAATTGTTCTAGCGCTGCTGGTCGCTACAACTACAAGGCGGCCACGGCCTACGCATCACTCATTCAAAATCAGTTTTCATAAGACCAAACCTCCAAAATAGATGACATATAAAAAATACATAACAGTCTCGTAGAGTAAATATTTCAAAGAACAAAACATGCATGTCTACGTCCCTCTACCTCTCTCTCCCTCTCTCTCTCTCAACCTCAAACAACGGACCTCTGCATTGATTGCGATTCACACAGTTTTCATTTCATTTACATTTCATTTAAAATGGGGAAAGCCTTCCGATCGCTGGAAGGAAGGAATTTTACTGGCAAGGTGATTAAACGAGTTCTTGCCCCTCTTAGCGCGACAAATAGAAACCCTATTCCTCTCAAGAATTATGTAATATTATGTAAGATAATCCCCCCATTCTTGCCCCTTTCATTGGGGACCCGTTTGGGACGCTCGCGTTCTCTAAACAAAGGAGGGTACGCGATGAATGGAGAAGGTTTTAATCCCCCATACCTTACGCGTTAAGGACAGTCGCGTTCTGCTAACAAAGGAGGGGACGCGATCGTCCTGAACCCGGACGAACGCGAGTGATAATAAAGTTGCCTTCCCTAAATGCATGTGCCACATTTTCATGACAGAGAATTGTGGGCAGACATGTACCATGACACATCTTATACAGAAAACTGTTATGTTGAAGCAGAAAATCAGAGGAAAAGATGAAGTTCTAAAAAAAATCGGACAAACAAGATGGTAAGTCATTTTTTCAAAACATCTCATTGGTAATGTACTGTATTTTTGTGATACCATATTGCGAAGAGCTCTCCAAATTTTTTACTAATAGTTGGGCAGCTCAGTAACCATGGTTAGGGCCAGGCACACTCACCGTCGAATTCTGGAAAGTAGTCTACAAGATGTGAATGCATGATCTTCTCCTCCAGTAGGTCCTTCTTGTTGAGGAATAAAATCACAGATGAATTCTGAAACCAGGGATACGTGATGATGGTTCGAAACAGTGCTTTACTTTCCTCCATTCGGTTCTGTATTCAAATAGATTGTAGAGAAAGAGACATGTCATACCAAAATAGTTTTCTGTCAACATATAGAAGAAAAAAACTTCCCAAGCTTTGCACAAAAAACAATGTTCAGTTACATGAAAATGATTATTACAGCATATAAAATCATAATAAAATTGTGAATATTACCAGGTGAAATGCGCATTCATACATGTCAAGGCGAACCACCTAAAAAAGATTGTGGTGACGAACTACAGTTTTGTCAACCACAATATGAGTAAAGGAATGGAAAGTGGCAACGATGTGGAAGTTTTTAAAAGTTGTGCCCAACAATGGCTCTTACAAGTACTCACTAATCTTTGTGAAAGGTAAGACATAGAGAAAGGTAAGACATAGAGATAGGAAGACACTTCATTAATCTCATCTCACATTGCCTGATGTTATTTTTAAGGCGATTTACTGCAGTGACAATGAAATTGCATGAGGGGGAATAAAAACATTTTTTATGATTGTGGTATTACAGAATAATATTAACATGGGAGCCAATTACAATTGGACATGGAACATGGTGACATGTAGGTTTTCATGCCCTGGCTATCAAGATATTTTTACCAGTAAACAATTTTTCTTATTATATTTTCAATTAATCAAGTGTCTCTTCTTAAAGATAAAGTTGAGTTCTGGTCATGCAATGGCATTGTGAAAGAAACGGTTAAGAATCGATCAGAAAAGGTTGATCATCTAGCATTTAAGTATTGGTGTGTACTGCAAGGTTGTGGAATCATCAATATGATGAGAAATTTGGCCCAGTCTTGGTAAAGTTACAAGCACTGTACACAGAGAGATGTATACGGGGCTACACAGACATGTGGCATAAAAATCTGTCCCGATTTTTATGTTGTTACATGTCATATTTAGAATATGAAAGCATTTGAAGAGCCATGCTTTTCAGGGAACATTTTTTATCTGATGTTCTTCCACACTTGCATAATAACAATGATAACGCTCACAATTTATTTTTCACCTCTCCCCAGAACTCAACCTTCTCTTTAAGAGTATGCACCACAAACTTCTAAAGTGTTCTTCATTCAAACCCGAAGCTACTTACCTCACTATCTGACTCGACAAGCAATTGGTCATATTCACTTAAGGCGACTAGAAACATTATAGATGTGACATTCTCAAAACAGTGAATCCACTTTCGTCGTTCTGACCTCTGCCCTCCAACATCGACCATCCTGTCAAGTAATGAAAAAAGTTATGTTGTTCATTCTGAGCAGGGACTTGTTCTGAGTAAAATCATTTGAATAATCACAGATCTGACATGTTGCTCCAGGCTTTATTCCATTAAAGATATAGGATTAGTGTTGAGTCTGGTTAGGGTTGACATTGGGTTTTCAGTTAAGTTACGGGTTAGGGTAGGCTTTGAGTTAAGGTTAGGTTTAGGTTTGGCTTGGGATTAGGGTTGGGTTAGGTTTAGGGTTGGGTTAGGTTTAGGGTTAGGTTTAGGGTTTGGTAGTGTTTCATCCAGGGTTGAGGTTAGGAATTTGTATGATATTGATTTGAGAGCATTTGTTGCTCAGGCATTGGACTGTAGCAACGTCATTAAGGCCAGAGAAATTTTCACCTATACTTGCATTGAAATTACATGTATATCTGTGATAATAACTGGAGATGTTAAATTAAAATAAATATTTACATTAATCATTTGTGAAATGGAAAAATTAATAATTCTGTGAAAGATGTAGCATTCCACTCAACTCTGCTCCACTATAATGATTAGAACAACTGCATTTTTCACTTCATCAAACAGTTTTACCATTACACTCATAACCAAGTACATGTATTTTCCCCCAGCTATATGTCATCCCAATTTACTGATAAAGTTTATATATACATATCAATCGCACTATTACACTATCAAATTTGTTTAATAGATAAGATATATGCCGATCAACACTCACCTGAAAATAATTGAATCTAGATCAAACGGATATTCAATGATTCCTGTTGTGGGTACTCGTACTCTGAGTACATCTTGTTCCGTAGGTATATAGTTTGAATCTGAAATTCTCTTTAAATCACTAAGGTAGCTGAAATGAGAAATGAGAAAGAAAGAACACATACATTAAATGGAGTTTGCACTACACAACAACAATATATTGATACTCTATGGCTTACTATGTGTGACCTGGCATTACAAAACCACCAATAAGTTTTTACAGTTGATGACCCGTTTCAACACATTATTACTTAACTTCCATTACACATACTTTTTTTCAAATAATATTAATTGTAGTAAAATTATTCAACAAAATGCTCAACTTCCCATGTGTTGATAGTTCAATAAGAAACATTCCCTCATCACTCAGTCAGCAAGCCATAAGAAACATGGATCTGATCTGCTGCCCTCTACAGGTGATCAATATCCAATTACTTTCAACCACCATTGACATGCATGCATGACATAGTGGTTTTCAACACAGTGCTACTCATGTGATTTTTTTGCCGTCACAGGTAAAATAGTGTTTTTCAACCGCATGCTTCATAATCTGATTTTACGTAATGGTCCCCTCTTTGAAAAATGAAGTCTCGCAATCTAACACCTTGCAATTAGACATTTCAAATTTTGGAGCATACCGGTATACATGTACATGTAGTTTAAATACAATCTTTTCACATCAAACTCTCCCATTGACCACTAATGAGATATCAACCTTGCTTTTAGAAACATCCTACATCATTCATCTTTGGGTGTTGTTTTTTTCACTGACCCGCTCCCTCATTTTCTATTTTTATTTAAATGCAAAGTGTACTAAACAAAAATAAAAAATTATCAGAATTGAGTTAAAGATAAAAATGAGTTCTAGCCATGCGCTTGGGAAAGAAACTGTAAAGATCCTTGAAAAGGTTCATCATGAAGCACATAGGTATTGGTGTATACTCTAAGGTTTTTTAATCATCAAAATGATAAGAAATTGGCCCAGTCATACTACAAATTTTGAGCCGTTACTAACTAGTCTTCTTTCAAATATGGGGGGGGGGGGTACTTTAAGAGCCATTCTTTTCAGGGGACTTTTCTCTCTCTCTCTCTCTCTCTCTCTCTCTCTCTCTCTCTCTCTCTCTCTATGATGCTCTTCCACACAAACATAAATGGAATGAAAAAGATCACAAATCATTTTTCACCTTTCCTGATCTCAACCTTCTCTTTAAAGGCCCACTGCACTACTTGTAGCTACTTGCGCCCTCTATACAACAAACAATGCCTAATCGGTGACCATTGGTCCCCCATGATCCTCTTTTTCTTATGTTAACTGAGAGCCGAGTTGATGAGATAACCACCTGTTCAGTGACCTTGCAGGGCGGTCTAATCCCTCCTGTAAACTATGGCAGATAAGCTTTAAGGCATACATGGAGTATTGATGTGCAAAGAAGATCATAATCCATAGAAAACTGCATTAAGCATCAAGTAATATAAAATATTCCAGAAATACTCCAACCACCGGTAATAAAGATTCTGAGTGCCTACAAATACATGTACCTAAAAGAAAACCACCAATTCAAAGACCGAAAAATGAAAGGTTTATATAATTGGATTACAATAATTCCATTTGAAAGAAAGTGGAAGGAGTAAATGTCTCCCTAGCAACCCGGGCAAGCATCAGCAATGCTACATCCAGCCTTTCCATATGTACACTGTACACTGTACATGTAGGTGACAGTAACACCCTACATGTATCTTTATTGACTGATGCAACAAAGAGAATTCCTCTACCAATACTAGGCATGAAGCTTTGTATCAAAAGAACATCATGATTGGGAGGGAGGGAGGGCGGGTAGGCCTACATATGACCTACTGCAGGAATTTGTAAAGACCTCTTGCAGAGTACATGTACATGTATCTGTGTACAGTATCATGCATCTAATGTAATTTACTTTAGTTCACAGATACTCTACAGACATTGGATTCTTTAACATAAAATAAATAACACAAGGTAGGTCTGAGCATGTTTGAGCATTAACCAAGGGTGTGTTTATGCCTGATTTTGAAGGTAGAATGAGCGATCTGAAACGCTCATCATAATCGCAGTTCCACGGTGTACTGTTTATGCTCACTTCTCTGGCTCCTCCAGGCAAATCTGGCTGGGTGGCCTTGCAGCTGGATTCGCAAACCTGCACTGCGCATGATACGTAGACCCACTAGAGGTCAGTGCGTTGACCCCATTTAAACACATTTACAAATGATTGTGCGTTTATTCTTCCCAGAATCGTAAACGCACCTTTGTGTGAGTTTACGATCGGCGATTGTGATTGCCGTTTTTCGGTGATTCTACAAAAATGAGAAAGGACGCAACCGTGTTTTAAACTAAACACGTAACAGATGCCTGATTCTGGCCAGAAAAAGTTGAGCATAAACATACCCCAAGAAACATGTACATGTACACATTATTTCAGTCAACATGAATTCTGTCTAAAACACTATGTTTGTATAGATTGAAATATCAGACTAAGCCAAATAATCTATAGGTTTAGTTTGGTCAACATTCTTTCATCTGCTGTGGCTGTTCAGTTATTGATATGATTTTTGTACACAAACTTTTAATTGTCTAAGGGCGCGTTTATGCTTGATTTTGACGGCCAGAATCAGGCATCTGTTACGCGTTTAGTTTAAAACACGATTGCGTTCATGTTCACTTTTGTAGAATCACCGAAAAACGGCGATCACGATCGCCGATCGTAAACTCACAAAAAGATGCGTTTACAATTTGTAAACGCGTTTAAATGGGGTCAACGCACTGACCTCTAGTGGGTCTACGTAGCATGCGCACACAGGTTTGCGAATCCAGCTCAAGGCCACCCAAGGAGAATTGCCTGGAAAAGTGAACATGAACAGTGCACCGTGGAACTGCGATTACGATGAGCGTTTACGATGAGCGTTACAAATCGCTCATTCTGCCTTTAAAATCAAGCATGAACGCGCCCTAAGACAAGTATGATACTGATCATTTTCTGTGATGCTTTCAAATTCATACACCTTTGCTTCGTTATGAAATGTATGTAACAAAGAATTGAATTTCAATAGTCAGAATGTTATTTGCATACAGCCATACAGTGCTTCTTTGTACAGTAGGTCTGACAATTACATGTTCATGTACATGTACATGTTCATGTGTTTCGGACTGAACAACATCTAAACTTATGCTTGTTCACATATGGCAGAATAAGCCGCAGCTCTTATTTTTGTGTACTGCCCTTAACTTTTGTTTTCATCTTATAACACAGAGATGATTGAGTATACATGTACGTGTATACCGGTAGACTTTCTTGCGCCCAGCTACTTTCCCATTCCAACCTACCATGTACATGTACATGTAGTACCCCCAAAACCAACCCCCAAAATATGGTAGACCACACATTTTTTTGTACTGAATAAATAGCAAGTATGGAATATGTTTAAACTTAATATGTGCAATCTGCATTCAACAATTTAAATGCAATAACTCACAGCAGGTGACAGACACATGTAATAGTTTGTCACTAGACAAAAGTCACAAAAGGCATTAAACTAGAATACATGGTGCATAAATCAGTATCAACAAATGGTATGATTTGATATCAAACAACATTCTCTGCTCATGTGTAGACCATGAATCCCAACATGTAGTCTAATGAGCCTTTTACTTTTCACCAATTTTGTTATTTTTTAGGTTTCCCACGGTACAGTCTCTTTCATAGGATGAAACGTGATACACAATTTTATAGATTTATAGCCCAAATTATTATTAGCCGTATCATGATTTTCTCACTGTGAAGTTACAGTTTGAAAGAATATGACAAAGCTGGAGACATTAATAATGGAAGTTTAAAAATCCAGAGCGTGATCGTCTTAAATCGATTGCCCTCTGATGCCCCAACAAGTCTTTATTTGTAGGACAACAGCTTTAATATGCCTTTAATACACATGAACAAACTCTCATACATTTAGTCCTACATGTACAAATAAATTATACATTATATTCTTTGATTTTTTACTTCATGTACATATATACATTTCATAAGTTCAAATCAGCTTAAAACTGCACTTCACTGATTTCCAAAGATTCTTCTCAAAGCAAAAATAATGAATGGTATTAAGGCTGAGACAGTTAGAAACAAGAAAACCATATAGTAACTTTACTGGGCCTTACTGTTTTGATTTTTTCCCAAAAAATATTTCAATGATTGTTTATATTTTGTTATAAACAAGAGTTGTAAAGTAATCTCATTACATAGCATAAGGATTCAAGATTTGCAACTTTCACTGACATACTTCCCACTTCCCTAAACCCAAAGATTTCATTGCACAAATGTTCAGGTTCATTGGATTGATGTACATGTACTGGTACTTCTCCAAGACACCAAAATCGATATACAATGTATGTTTGTTCAGTTTTTAACATAAATAAATGCAAATGCAAACAAATTTTACTAAATAATCAAAATACTGTATATACACATATTATTCTTGAAATGTATTTAGTTGCTTAATCAATTTTTTCAAATAAATTTAACCAAACTTTCACGGTCCAAATTGATCATAAAGGGTGTCAGAAACCTAAAAATCCATCTCTACCCAGGTGTTAAATGGGTACCCGGTAGGATGCGACCGTCATTGTTGGTCAAACAGTTTTTGAACGTCAAGCTGGAATGCTCCCCAGGGAGTGGAGATTGTGCACACAGAGTGTGCGGGCAAGCACTGAATCCAATGACCAGGGTAATAGTATATTTGTAAAGCGCTTAGAGACATTGTATTAAGCGCTATATTGTATTAAGCGCTATATAAAAGCTAAATATTATTATTTATTATTCCAAAGTTACTGAAGAAAAAAATGAAAGGAATAATAAGTAAAAACAACAGAAATACTTACGTAGAAGTAACTGTCAGTTAAAACAATATTACCTGAGAAAGTGCATTGTTTCCAATCTACCCCCCCCCCCCCTCCCCCAACAAAAAAACAAGAGGCTGTCATAAAATGTGATGATTTCTACAGATCCTCAAATGTGTCTGCAGACAGTTATGTCCTTATGAAGACCATTATAACCCTACAATAAG